AAAAAAAAAAAGAAACCCACACTCCACTGTTTGGCAGCAACCAAAGTGACCCACAAACAACCAAGCTAGTATCACAAGATAATTCCAAACAGGTCCAACAAGTATACGAATAGGTAATCATGCTCTACCTTGTTTGTTTTCTTTGTGGATTCATTCTTAGTATCTGTGGAAGACGATCTCAAAGAATTGGAGATGGATCCACTCGGGGAGGGCTGGTTACTGGACTGCTGATCCTCACTGGTCGGGGAGCCTGTAAGCCTTCTGTGGCCACTTCGTAACGATGATAACTGCTTTAAAAACAAAACAGAACACACATTTAATATTGTTAAAACCCAAAACAAGGATGACAAGTATCCCTTACTCGCAAAACCTGCAAAGAGGTGAAGCAAGACTTAAAGCTATGAAATTGAATTTAATTGTAATCTAATGTCATTGGTAATAGTGAGTGTGTGGCTGATCTGCCAGCCTCACGCTTACAGGTGCTCTGCTACGCCGTGTCCTCATGGCATGCTTGCTGTTCACTTCTTCCTCCACTTTAACAGGTTTAAACATGAACGGAGCGCTTCCTGACTTTGGGGCTGACGGCAGACATCCGTGTTTGTTTTCATAAGTACGACAACTTGTACACAGCAAAGGGTTGCCTCTCCCACCCTGGTGCCAATCCTTAGAAGCTGTAACAAGAAAATGGCTTTAGGTACAAGTTTCACTGTTAACTGTTTAAAAACAGCTTTCTTTATCAGCTTTTAGCCACTGTTCTAAAACTAAAACTCACTTGTTGTGCCACAATGACTGCAGCTCTTGCTTTCCTGTTCACTGTCTTCACTATCAAGATCATCATCACTGGCAGAACTTGCATCCACTACAAGAAAACAACCAAACATGCCAAAAACAGCTTAGACCAACACAAAGTCCAGCTCATAGGACTGCCAAACCTCTGGATTTTACAATTACCCCTCCATTCAACAGACTTGGGGACACCTTTCCAAAGAAGCTTGTGAGGATTACCTGAATAATTTCGAGACTGTGCGTTCAAAGGAGAAGCTGCAGATCGGGTTTTTGCTTTGCGAGAGGACGGCTGCCTGCGCTGCTGTCGGTAAGCTCTGGTTCCTGCGGCCTCTGGTGTTTTCTTCCAGTGGTAATAGAAAGTGATCAGTTCTCCCTGATGACAAGAACACAGATAGTCATGTTATGGCTTTCTGATCAAAGATGTGACAACAGTGACATGTTACAATCATTATAAATTGCTTTGTCTGCAAAAACATAATGTGAAATTACAGTCTTTTTGCTGGGGAGAAAGTCTTTCCGAATGCGGAAGAAATTTTTGCCATATTGTCTCAAGCCTTTGATGAAGCGTTTCTGTAGGGACCAACAGAAGGCAAAACAAATTGAATGATATTCAGGCAGAACACTATTAGAAACAGGAGCTTTCAATAAACATGCAATTGATTTACCTTGTAAAACTAGTGATCTGCTTTTTAAAACATGTAGCTGTTACAGACGCAATGCTACTGCAGAGATGCATCATATTATAATCTATCTGAAGAACCATTTAAGATGCAGGCAAACTGCCCAAATAATAATAAAACAAAATACATCTACACTACCCGCAAATACTAAATGTGTTACATATATTTAAACCCTTTAGAAATTGTATAAGCTTGCACAAAGATCTAAAAAAACCTTTAATGCAATATAACTAAAAAAAAAAAAAAAAAGGCTCTCACCACGTCGTCTCCCGACCAACACTTTTCAATAAGTTTTGGCAGAGGCTTCTTAACAAGACGCTGGAGAGCTTTTGCTGCATCATAGTGACTTGCATGAAGCTAAAATAAAAATTGTGGATTTTAATACATCTGCAATAAATGATGCTGGAAAATAATAATATGACTCAAGTTGTGCCTCATACCATGTTCAGAGCATTGAGTGTGGTGTCATCACGGGAGGCTGCTAAACATCCATCCTCTGTGGATCCACCATCACACATCCCTGCAAACGCCGCCATGCTCCTTGAAAATAAACAGAAGTATTTATGTTAACAAGTGAAACCAATGATGAAGGGGTACCTTTACCCTTTCTTAGTTTGACATTACTTTTCCTATGTTGCCTGCTTACATGATATTTAATAAATCAGGCAAAAAATAAAGGAGAGAACAGCAATGCAGCTTAAGAGCAAGAAAAGCAACATTTATATCATTGGAGCACTATTTTTTTTTTTAACTGACAGGTACCGACGAATGAAAAATGTTGCTGAAATGCTGAATACCAACAAACCACCAACACAAGCAACTGTAAGGCCAGATTAGATACAGCAGTATTCACTAAATCCCTGCATCACCGCCTCAATATTTTCTAACTTCAACATAATCGCAGCAAAAAAAACTCAAAACAAAAAGCACAATAGAGTCTGAACTGACTCAAATCTACTGCAACCAACCAGAAAAGAAATTATCTAACAACAATAGCGAAACCAAGAGTGGTTCTATTTTGCATGTACTTCCTCATCTGTAACACTTTCCTGATGACTGTGTCAAAAGTGGGCCGGTAAGACTGGCTCTCGTTGCCTTTTAGTATTTTTACACCAATAATGGTACGTACTGCCAAAACACATTAAAGGTTACATAACAGTTTTAGATTATTTTGTAATCAAAAAGTTACATCTGTATTTAGCTGTTCAGTAAGGGCACTGAGTTATTTACTATTAGATGTTATTGTAAATTTCTGAAGAAATTTTATACATGCAATTTTTTTTTCATTTGCAAAAGGTGCCAAGACTTCCACTTACCTAGCAGCTCTGAGGTACATGAGAAGGTCACAGTCATTGACCCCAGGCGTCCACATGAGCTCCTCACTCTCTGTTTGAGTTTGCAAACCAGGCGCAGGCCGTGGCTGCAGCTCTGGGAGCTTGGCCTGCAGTGCAACAAACGAAAGGCCAAAAGCACAGCAATTAAATAATCAGTACAAGGGACAACAAAAGCAAAACTTACAAAGAAAAAGCTACAAAAAACACATTATTAGCATGTGTATGAAGTAAATAATGGTTTAAGGTTTTTCTGGTTATCAAATAGGTTTAGCAAGCTGAGTTACATAATAGGATTTCCATGAAGAAACCGGAATGTAACATTAGCTATGAAAGAAACATTTACAAGGGATGCATGTATATCTTTCTTTAATTCACACAGGCTCAAATATATAAATCGTTTATTTATTTGTTATTAGTCCTTTATTTATCCAGGTAAATATCTCATTGAGATGAAAAATCTCATTTCCAAGAGAGACCTGGCTCTTGGCAGTGCTGACAAAGCCGAAGCCTATTAACTTGATTGACAACTGGTAGTTTCTCTTTGCCACCTTAAAAAGGATTTGTTTGACAGCACTCATTGGACTGACCAATACTTAGGTATATTGATTTTCCTTAGATCTTGAGTTCCTTGGACTTTCTCATTGTTCTGGGTATGTATATGTATATGTATGTACACACACACACACACACACACACACACACACACACACACACACACACATATACATACACACACAAAAAGAGCAGGATAATACAAACAAACAAACAAAAAATCACTGGAAACAGCTGTGGTTATCATACAAATTGGTGCAGCCCTACTAATAAGAAAAAGTTGTGAAACTGCAAACCTGTGCAAGTCCCTGCAGGTTTGAAAGACACATGTTTAGCTACATTGTTCAGAAAACACCTCCTAATCTCAACAAGTCTTGTGGAACTGGCTGTACAGTGAGTCTAGTAGCTGGTGCATTTCTTAATTATAGTTTATTTATAACAATAAATAAATAAATAAAATAAAGCAGCTACCTGATGACTTGGCCCCACTCTGATCTCTCCCTGTGTGCTGTTTAGGCTCCTGAAAGTACAGAAGAAAAACAAAAAACAGGCAGCATTACATTTCTACACCAGAGCAAATTAAACTCAATTGTTTTAATTAACTGCAGTCTGAAATGCATACACATGTATTTAACAGGTAATTAACGCTGTACGGTATGTAGTCAGGCACAAGATCAATATTTGCATGTAACTTGTCAGAGCAGCTTCCCTCACACAGACTGCACAGTGATTTCAGCAGTGCGATAACATCCCGCCCCTCCGCCTCTGTGGGCCAATCTCAGCCGTGAGCCGCGACGTTTCCTTATATTACATGAATGAAATCCGACGCTACAGCCATCGCAAAACCCTGTCAATCAATCATACATGAGCTGCTAATTTCTACGGACACCATTACGAGAACAGTGTGTGCTACTTTTGGAGATCAGACTGACAGTAAACCCTACCCAGCCTAGTTAACCTAAGCATTCCATAATAAATATCAACATTAGCATGCCTAACATTTTGACACCGATTAGCAGTCTCTCATGTAAATACATGCCTCACGGGAATTCCACAGCCGATTCAATAAATGTTTGCAAACTCTACCTAAGGTTAATCCAATTTACTGACATTATTTACACGATAGCTGCAGAAATAACCGTGCCCAGAAAAGCGTTTTGACAAACCCGTGCCATTAGCTGCTAACTAGACAGTAGCGTTACGCTGTTATTTTGGCTAGCTTGTTAGCCAGGCACGAACTTCGTGACCACTGACACTCCGACTATTTCACACAAGCTGCTCTCAAAGTAACGCGGGGAAACACTAAAACACACATTTCAAGACAACTAAAGAATGCGACGTAAATGAAGGCGGCGAGTTAATGAAGTTACCTCCGCGGACTGAACAGGTCGTCCATGTCGAAGGATGTTTGGATGTGGCTTGTTGACACTACGCAGCGCAGTCAGCGGGCGATACACACAAACTATGCGAATCCCCTATTACATGGCTATTCAAAATGGAGGCGGTGTAGTGGAGGGACTCGCTCTATTTTTTTTCCCTGTGCAATGACCTCAGCAGCCACAGCTAAGACTTCAAAGTTGCCTGGGTGTACATAACTGAGCATGTGCCGCGGATCAGCAGCAAGCAGCGCAAACGATACCGAGGCTTCATGATCATCATCACCACCACCAGCAGCTGCTGCTACCGCTGCTGCACAGGCAGCCATGAATCAAACAACACACCATACTGTGTGTACTGCTGCGGTTATTAGACAGCATTTTGAAACACATCACACCACATTGACCGCCACCTACACAAGCTGTGATTTAGACAATACACTTAATGCGGTTCAGCTTTTTTGTTGTCACATTTGCTTTGAGTTCACCACAAACAGAAGTAAACAAAATAACCATTAAATATTACATACATGTACATTGCAACCCGCCATATTGCAAATTGTCAATAATAATAATATTAATATATAATGTAATAATAACGTTAAAAATAAATTATTATTATTATTATTATTATTATTATTATTATTATTATTATTATTATTATTATTATTATTAGTTTGCACACACTCTTCATGGGAATGGCTGTCATGGTAAGATTGGACTTTTAATGATTTGTATGAACTGCTTTTTCTCGCGCTCTCTCCAGGGTCAAATACTGTGCGGCAAACATTTTAAATGTCTATTTAAAAAAACAAAAACAAGAATTGGGTGCAAAATTTTGAATTTATTTAGGATTTTCTCTAATCCACACAGGGTCAATAGTACACACACAAACATGCACTTAAATCTTTTATTAGGTGGTGCTGAAGGTTCTCCATCGACATCTAATTAGTGATCAAAACTGACTACAACTAATAAGTTTCTTTTTGCCAGTCACTGGACTGAACAATACTCTGGACGATAGGGAATCCAATGAACTCAGTGGACATCTAAGAAGAATGTAGAACCATTTCTAAACTGCAGATTCCAGGATCTTCATTACACTTTTGTTAACACTTTTGCAAATATCTGGAGGAAGACCTAAAGTGTCACCCTGAGATGACAGGAAGTTGTTTGAGATATTTAGGAAGAACCCAGAAACCATCATGGCTCATTGGAAATTGGTGGAATACCAGCATCACTGTCCACAGTTAAGCGTGTTTTTAAATTCTCCCTCAGCCCTCCCAGAATCTGGTTCTGCTGGAGGTTTCTTCCCCTTAAAAGGGAGTTTTTCTTTCCCACTGTTGCCAAGTGTTTGCTCATAGGGCATCCTTTGATTCTTGGGGTTTTCTCTGTATTATTGTAGGGTCTTTACCTTACAATAAAAAGTGCTTTGAGGCGTTACAGCTGCGTTACCTGAATGACAAGAGGCATGTATGTCCTGATTTGCTCTAAAATTATACAAGTCTGAATATTCTGAATCTTCCTGCATCTTTGGTTTGGACATTTAAGATTTTATGGGAGAATCACATTTATATTAGGGTTTGCGATTTACTTGTAATAGTTGAGGATAGCGTAAGCCCTATTTCAAAGTTGATCCTCTCATGTCTGCATATGAGAAGGAAAAACACAAAACAAAAACTAAAAACAGCATCAGGAGCCAGTTTAACTAAAAAAACAAAGCATCAAGAACGAACTACTACGAGTGTGTTTGATCTTATTAACGAGTGTGTTTGATCTTATTAACGAGTGTGTTTGATCTTATTAACAATACAATACAATTTTATTTATATAGCATGTTTAAAAAACCAGGGGGTACATCAAAGTGCTTCACAGTAAGGAATAAACAGTAAATGATTACACTGAACTGCAAGTCATTAAAACAAGCTAAAATAGAGAACAAACAAAAGCAAGTAAGTAGAGATAGAGAGAAATCATGATTATCCAGAGAAATGAGTAGCGAGCAATTAATGAGCGGTGAGAATTAGTGAGTTGGAAAAGCCAGGTCGAATAGGTACGTTTTCAAGCGTGCTTTAAAGGATTGAATGGAGTCAG